ACTCTATCACAAAAACAGAGGAGATTTGTTACACATGACCTTCTCTAAAACCAAATTGTTTATTTTGATATCATTTCGTGTTTTTCAAGTACTTCAACCCATTTTTCCCCAATTATCCTTTCTAATCGCTTGCATAATGCACTAGTTAACAAAACTGGTCTATAATATAGATGGTTTTTGTCGCCACTCTTATATAAGGATGTAATATTGGCGAGTTTCCAACTTTTTGGTAGTTTACTTTGTCTCAACGAATGGAATATCAACAATAAAGTAGTACATAGTTCTTCGGCACATTTCCTGAGAACCCAGTTAGAAATCTTATCTGGTCCCTCTGCTATAGTCTTGTCTAATCCTTTTAATAGACCTTTTATTTCATTCTTTTTGAGGGTGATATTTTCGTTGTTCTTTGCGTTTGCACGGGTATTTGTCATATCAAAGTATGGGTCCTGAACAAACTGACTGACATTTCTCATTTAGGATTTCACACATTTCTTCCTCCTTAGAATAAGTTGTATTATTGTCTATGGTGGAGCCAATTTGATCTCTACTCTTAGTTTTAAAATTTGTATAGTTAAAGGAGAGTTTTGGTTGACTTGTACATTTGTTGATTACATCCTTTTCAAAGTCTAATTTCGCCTCTCATGGTTTAGGTATACTCTTCTTCCTACGTTATATCTTTCATAAGCTGCCTGAGATCTGTGTCTTACGAATCTTTTCCAAAGGAGTTGCTTGTTTTCTATCATTTTCTTGCCTTTGTCATTGAACCACTTTTGGCTATTTCTTACTTCAGTTTTAAATTTTGATATGATTTTTTTTACTTTTTTTAATGGATTTCACAAAATTTTGAATACTGAATATCAAGGTTCTCATCGCCCAGTTTATGCCATCAAAGAAATCTTTAAGGCTTCTATAATCACTTCTTTTGTAATTGTATTTCTCCTTTCTTTCCTTGTTTACGATGAACTTTTCCTGTAGCAGACAGTACTCGATATCCTTAAGGCGCTGTCACACTAGCACTTTTTTCCGTCATTTTTCTGACAATTTTATTTAACATAAATACAGACATTCTCGAATATAACTCTTGATTTGACTTTGTTTGGCTGAAAAAATTGACGTTGAGGTTTTCAGACGGAAACGATCATTATCGTCTGACTGGAAAATCGACAATTCGCTCAAAAATGGAAAAAAAAAAATCTGAAAATTGTAAAAAAAAATTGACGGAAAAAGCGCTAGTGTGACAGCGCCTTTAGGATCATCGTTATGCTTTGTGAATATTAGGTCAAGCATAGACGAACTGTCTAGCCATCTTACCCTGATATGATGTGTTACATTCTGGAAAAGGCAATACTCATTTATGGCTTCCAGTAATTAAGGATTCCACGAATGTGTGATAAGATTTTTTTGCATTGTTTTTCGAAAGTTGTAGCACTTCTTCCAGGCACTTTAATGTCTCTTGAATTAGTTTTTGGTAATTTTCTTGTGACCATACCGATCTGCTTAACAGTTTCTTGTACTTTGGTTACTTACTCAACTTTTTCTTGCAGATTCGTTGCCAATCTTGGTTTCTGTTTTTTTTTTCTAACTTTTCCTTTAGTTCCTTGATTTTCATTTCAGACTTTTCCATATTCTCTCTCTGAATGGCTGTGTTCCTATGCAAATTATCTACCAATTTCTTCAAATTTACGTTTTCTTCACGGATTTTAAAGCATTCTGCTACCATGTTGTCTACCTTGGCTTCAAGAGCCTCAATTCTAATTGCTGCTTCCGCCAACTTCATTTTGTTTATCTGATCTTAGTTGTTACTCATCAAACAAACACAAAAACAGAGCAGTTGTCTCTAGGCGCGAAACGCTTACCATACAGGAATCGCGGTCACTTCTCACCTCCCATACCTTCTCTCTCACGTACCGGCTCACAAAACCGCATCTTTTTTTTATTTATTATTTCATTTTCTAACCCATCTTTTTCTTTCAACATGAACCATACACATTTACATAACCCATGGCTAGCAGACTAGACCACCCATTGTGTGTGTGTGTGTGTGTGTGTGTGTGTGTGTGTGTGTGTGTGTGTGTGTGTGTGTGTGTGTGTGTGTGTGTGTGTGTGTGTGTGTGTGTGTGTGTGTACAAACGCTGGCAAAACTATTCAATTATTTTTTTAAATATTTTTTTCCATTTCTTCTATTATCATATGTATAAAGACAGCGTGCGGTCGCGTAAACACAAATGGATGTGTCGGACCGCATTCATTGTTGCCATTAATCTTTCCAAAACCTTGTTTCTCCCGATATAGATAATAAAAAAAAGATCCCATGTTTTTTTAGATCGTAAATAAAATCCCATCACACAGAGAACTAGTAGTAACTTAACAGCACATAGTTTAACCACCCGGTGAAAACACACAAGTTCAAACGTTTCCTCACTTGTAAACAAACTCGTCTCAGGTCGTAGTCTGGGAAAGGATTTTGGTAAACTTTTAGGCTGTTTCTCCTGTGGCCTTAAGTATTACCTTTTTTAATTCATCATGGCGAACCATAATGATAAACGGAGACAGCTGGATGATGAAATGAGTAGGTAAGTTGAGAGAAAGAGATATTTAAAAAAATATTTTTTTAGAATGGTAGAATGTGCTACTTGTATACCGGTATTTTTTATGATAGTTGAATGATTTATTTGGCTTAGACTTCTTCTTCGTATTGGTTGACATGTGTCTCTTTCATCTGTTTGATAAAAGATAATATAATGCATTTAAACTTACCAGGGAAGGCCTAATATTATCAGGGGCTGACCCAGCAAGGAAACATTGTTGTACACACATTAAGTTACGTAGATTTCTTTACTCAGTCGTTTCCACATATTGTATGTATGTTTAAACTTGACCTAAACCCAGTGTTTATTAATCCGATCGCTGTTATACACTTTTCTACACTGCCTGCTCAAAGTATCACAGACTTGTCAGAAAGTGCTAACTTAACAAATGCAACTGTAATCCTTTACAGTAAGTCCTTAACGCCACAACATTCATTCAACAATCTAAGTTGCCTTGACAACATTGTCTTCACCTCGGTATGCATGGCAAGATAGAGCTCAAACTCTGAAACTCTGGAACACAAAGTGGAGTTGGGTTGTGATCAGCACTTTCTGTGATCTTTTCCTTTATTTTCTGGCATGACCATTCACGTCTGCAGATTGTTTCTTGTACTGACAACTGCAACTTGTAGTCCTCTACAAGAATATCATTTTCAATTTACCCAAGCTTAGTGTGTCCATACCATAAAAGATTAACAATACTTCTCAAACGGCATGCATACTTGTATAATGGTTGCATAGATATTTTTACCAAAAGAACTACATTGCCAATACTAACAATTTTTTCACCAATGGACTAATGATGTGTTCTGTCCACGGACTTCTAATGGTTCTGTCCACTTATAGTAGTAAAGTCAAGGTGCTGTAAAGGATAGGTAGACAGACAAGAAGTCAGAAAGACAAAGAAATGAAAATGGCTTTCTCTAAGAGTATGGTGATGGTTGTTTATGGCATGAAATATTTTGTTATGATAAATAAAAGAGTGGAATCATCAAATGAATTACAGAAATATTTATAGATAGCTATATCTGGTATCTCAAGGTGTCCCTTATTGGCTAAACACAACACCATTCAGTTCTACCCCATTTTTACTTATGTCAATCTATATGATGGTGTTTTTCAGTACATTTTCTTTGGAATAGATTCATCAATGATAATGGTAAAAAATGGTCAAGAAATGATAAAACAGACAAAAAATAAAGAAACCTAATAGTCAAAGCTGTATAATTATTTCCAATAGCTTGAAAAAGAATGCTATTCACCTAGTATGTTGTGGAGCAGATATTAAATTGACAAAAACTACTAAAAAGGTTGTTGATGTTGTGTTAATAGTATTTCATATGTGATTTCTTTCCCCTTATGAAGGTTTTTTTTATTGAGTTTGCATGAAAGCTGGTAGATAGAGTACCTACAGTCAGAGTTTAGAGGAGCTCCTTATATGATAAATTGCCAGGGAGGCCCACTGACTGCATCTCGTCAAAATATACATTACATACGTGTCTAGCCATTATTGGAGACAGGCAAATGGAGTTACTTGATACCTCCACACTCAAATTACTCTCCATATGATTTCTCAAGTAGGTCAGTTTTGACTAAAACTATATATGGTCAGTACACATAGCCAATCCCATTGTCAAGGTGAACCTGTGCATCAGACATTCAGCATATTATAGGTAGGCTAGAATAAAACAGGTGGCACTACTGTAATATTGAAGGATAAATAGTCTTGTTGCACCTGGCAAGATTGATCTTTGTGATATCTGTACTTGGTTTATGTAGAAAACAGGTACTGAAGAAATGCTTCATGAAAATAAGGAAGTACTTGCTAGGAAGAAGTAAATCTTCCAGTTTAGGGAAAATATATATTTATTGAAAGATGGCAAAATTTAACTGAAATATCTGCATTGACCTGTGAATATTATTTTCTGAGATTACAGTACTCTCTTTTCTGTTCCAGTCCACCCATAATATGCTGAATTTCAGAAGCATAACAAACAGTCTGAAGTTCAGTTTTCTGGAAGGAATGTCATAAAAAAGAAATCAGAATAATGACCAAGAAATTAGTTAGATCATCAGGAAAACATAAATATGAAAAAGGCAAACTGTTTTGTCAGGCTGATTAGTTACTTTTAGTGCTACCTGGTCTTTAGGGTATCTTGTAATTCACCTTGGGACATAAGAGTTTTAGGTATCATTCACTAAGTGATGTATTATACCTGGCATTTTTGGTAAGGTAGTAGTTACAAGAAGATAAATAGTACATTTATCAAAATTATGTTTGTAATTATGTTTAAGATGTCAGTAGTTTGCACTCTTACCTTAATACAAGGGTTGATTAAAGGATATCAACTACTGAGGAGGGTATAATATTGCTTCTGCTGTTGATAGTTTGTTACTATATACAATGATCACATGTACAATAACTTGGCCATTTGGCATGGGGAAAAATATATGAAGAGATTAGACAAAGTCAGGGGAAAGTATCTTTTCTATATTTTTGTTCTTGCTCTGCAAAAGTAGTCACATAATTTTTGAGGAAATGCTTAAATTCACATTTTGACCAATATTAAGATTAGAATATAAATGTTTTGTCAGTTTTTCTTTCACATGAATTGCTAATTTTCTCTTGCCTTTTCAGGCATGTAATAATACATATTTTTTCATTGAAACAAGGTGATTTATATTACAGTATTTTATCCCACAAAGTCCTTTTTATTTTACCCCAATCCATTTAGGCATTTCATTAATTTTATAAGAATCACAAGAGATTAGATTTTGTCTAGATACAAAGGAATGTAAGTAATACACAGAAATATTTCACCCCAAATACTCAATTGAATGCAGAATATTCAAGAAAATGCATATATTCTGGGAAATGATGATGTTCATCATGTTTCATTGCTGTAAGACACTATATTGATTTTTTCTAATGCACAGATTTGAGGCAGAGATATCAGGACCTCCTGGTATTGGTTCAGTGCCTCCTCTGCAGCCTCCACCAGCACCTCCCAGAGGGGTAATAGGGGCAAAGACATACACACAGGTTTGTTGCTGTTATTTTGATAATGCTTAAGATGAGAACATTTTTACATAGAGAGTGATACCAATAATACATTATCTGTTCATATGTTATCCCATTGCTGCCAGGGACATGTAATGATCTTTGTAGCTTGTTTTGTGAAATGTCACTTAGAGATAGTTCCACAAGTACTCAGCCACCAAGGCATCAACTGTTAGTAGGTGTATGTGACCTCATTTTCCCTTTCCTTGAGTTTTCAGGAACTCTAATGCTATTAGTGATTTTTTGAATATTAATAATGCTGATAGCAATAACAGATAAAAGATAAAATTTCCAAAAATCAAGGGAAAGGGTAAAGAGGTACAATGGGTAGGAGTAGTAATTGACTTCTTGGTACTGATAAACTGAGATGAAAATCAAAATAGGCTTGGTATGTACGTACATGCAATTCCCATTAGCAGTAGGTGAATTGGAGGAAATGGTAGAAAGATTTTCCATTCAAAGATCTATGGTGACTGCCTTTGCTTTACCTGATGGTGCACTTGCAGGTCCAGCAGCGTCTCCAGCAGCAGCACCCAGAGCCACCAGGGACAGGTGGTCCTCCTGGAATGGGTGGCCCACCTGGCCCTCCTCATGGTCCCCCAACTCTTCCCCCAGTCCCAGGGGGGCCAAATAGCAACAATGCTGTTCCACCTTTACCACCGCCTCCCCCGCCACCAGGGTACATTGGTCCACAGATGCCAGGCGGGAACAGCGGCATGCCTCAGCAACAGCAGTCACGGCCACCGCCTCCTCCTCCTCCTGGCTTCATTCCCCCACAACTCAACCGACAGCATGTGCATAATAGTGAGTCTTGTTAACTGGAATGTGTCCCCATCTTTGTAATGTTAGAATTATAATGATATAGCTATCATGATTATGAGAAAACTAGTATTAGTAATTATGGTAGTTTTATGTGTATGATCTTGACAATAGTGGTTGTCGTAACAGTATAATGATATTTATATTGATGGTAATAGTGATAATGATGCTGCTAATCATGGTCATCATGTAAACCAAAATTTTTGGTCAGGGCCATTTATGCGTGATTTTTTATGTATCTGTAAATTAATATATATATATAATTAATAAGTTAATTAAGAGAAAATGTTTAAATCAGCACAGAAATGTATAAGGTTATTGAAATGATAAGTTTGACTAATCCTATAGAATTATCATAAGTACATATTATACCAATAAAAGTAATAGACAGATCATAGTTATATATTATAAGAAATTAAAATAACAAGATAGAATAGAATTAGGTTATAAGAAACCCAGGTATTCAAAATCTTTTGGGTCACATAACCCCCTTATTTTAGTTGATATCATGCCACTGATGGAACTGATATCAGTAGACAAGTGTTTATTGATAGATTTTTAAGAATCATAATGAATTTACGGATCACGATGCTGATGCTGATAGCAATGATAAAGATTATATAAGTAGAAATAAAATTATCTTGAGGACTATGATTACTGGTGGGTCAACTAATAATTATATTCATTTTGATTACAGATATGATGAATGATGGGCATCAGATGGGTCACATGATGGGTGGTGGCCCTCCTGGATATATGAGGCCTCCAGGACCACCTGGCCACCCTGGGCACCCAGGTCCACCAGGGCCACATAGCTATGGCCCACCAGGGGGCCCACCTGGCCCTCCAGGTCATGGTCCTCCAAATCCTGGTCCACCTCGACCTCCAGGACCAGCTGGCCATGTGCCCTCTGGACCCCCAGGCATGGGGCCCATGATTCCTCCTGGCCCCCCTGTCTCTCATGGCTCACACATGCCGCCGGGCTCCTCTGGGCCCTCTCCCCAGACTTTTGGGCCTCCAGGCTCCCAAGGCCCTCCTCAAGGACCCCCACATGGGCCACCAGGCCCACCCCTTCGAGGGCCTCATCCCCCACCTCCTCCCCCGCCTGGCATGTTGGCGTCACAACAGCTCCATGGGGCACCAGTGGCTGCTGCTCCCTTTGTCCCAGCTGTTATCTCAAAACCTCCAACTGTTATCAGGTAAGTCAATTCAATATTTTAATTGTCTAATTATAGTAGAGTGAGAGGGAGAGGGAGAGGGAGGTGGGTGGTTCTGTGAGTGTGGGTGTGTGTCTGTGTCTGTGTCAGTCTGTGATGTGTCTGTTTTTATATCCAGTGATGTACTGTAAGTATATAGTTTTTACCTTTTAATAATCACCTCAATTGTATTTTTTGTTGTGAAACAGTTCGGCTCCCAAGCTATACACATCCCAACCCTCCAAAAATGAGGCCAAGCAAGCCGAAGTGCCAGCTGCTGGTCCTACCCCACAGATGGTCACTGTGATGCCAGATGGACCACCTGAACCCAAGAGGAAGAAGCTTAACCCAGATATGAATATGATGACTGCTGCGCAAGCCAATCAGCAGCTGACCCATGCTCAGGAGATGGCTGAGAAGGTAGAGATTCCTTTCCTTTACCTTGCTCATTTGCCTTCTGTCTACCTATCAGTAGTTAAATAATAAAAAAATGGATATCTGTGTCTTTGAATGATAGCATTGATAATATTTGGCTCTTTATAAGAAATGATATATTATTTTGTTTTACCTTTTCTTGATAGTATTATTCTTTGACTCAGGTTCGAGCAAGTACTGTAACCACCACTGTTTCGAAACCTGAGAATCCTAACCACAGTGTTGGAGGAGGTGGTGGTGGCGGAGGAGGAGGAGGAGGAGGTGGAGGTGGAGGTGGAGTGGTGGTGGTGGTGGAGGTGGCGGAGGTGGTGGGGGCGGTGGAGGCAGTGGTGGTGGTGGCGGCAATGAAGAGAAGAAAAAGGAAGGAAAGGGGAAGCCCAAGAAGATGCTGAGATGTGCAGGAGGACAGATCTGGGAGGATCAGTCTCTCACAGATTGGGATCCAGGTGGGTAATGCCTTGTTTATGCTCGGCCCCATGTTGTTTTGTTTATGATAGATGGTTGATTATGGCAATGCAAGGCAGGTTTAAGGTAACAGTGTATGTTTCTCTCTCTCTCTCTCTCTCTCTCTCTCTCTCTCTCTCTCTCTCTCTCTCTCTCTCTCTCTCTCTCTCTCTCTCTCTCTCTCTCTCTCTCTCTCTCTCTCCTCTCTCTCTCTCTCTCTCTCTCTCTCCCCCCCTCCCTCTCTCTCCTCTCTCCTCTTCTCCACTCCCTCTCCCCCCTCTCTCTCTCCCTCTCTCTCTCTCTCCTTGTTTCTCTTGCTTTTAGATATAACCTTTTTTTTAAATCATTCATTAACCTTTTTCAGATGATTTCCGGATATTCTGTGGTGATCTTGGTAATGACGTTACCGATGAGCTGCTCACTCGTTACTTTAGCCATTTTGCTTCCTTTGTCAAGGCAAAAGTTGTCAGAGACAAGCGCACCAATAAAAGCAAAGGTTATGGCTTCATCAGCTTCAGTGACCCCCAGGACTACATTCGGGCAATGAAGGAAATGAATGGTAAGTACAAAGTTCCATTCTTTTGGATGAAGGGGCTTCCTGTAGAATTTGTTATCAGAGGAAGAATATCCGCTGTGTTGTTGTGAATGCAAGCTTTGTTTCTGTGTGATATTGTGTTTCTGTTTTTAAATGGCCAGTACTTGTTAAAAGAGGTACTTTAAATAAGAATAGTATTAATCATCATTATGTCGATTCGCTTTGCCTTTTGAGAGCAAGTTTTATCTCAGTTTCTCCAATGATTCCATCTGTGTTTATATAGGGTATAGATCCTTGATTGATAATACTTACACAGGTATAATAGTTTGTCATTATATTTGCTTTGAATATTTCCATAGTACATATGAGGAAGTCTTACAGCATGGAGTGCCAAGGGAATCAGTGTGAATATATGTTTTTGTAATTTAGATGGCAAAATTTTGTGCCAAGGAAAGCTCGTGGCTGCAGGTCTCTCTCTCATCTCTAATTCTCCAATAAGGAAGGAGCTGGAAGAATGATACTTGTTTCACCTAATGTTTTGTTTATGGTTGGGAGCCTGTTTCTTTTATATTTTCTGAGATTTGTGTCCCTTGATTTACACCTTTACCAGTTTTGTGAGAAGTTCGTAGTGTTATTATGTATAATATCTCCGATTTGTTAATGGTTTTGCTAAGCAGAGACCTAAGAAACCATGTTAAACAATCATGTTGCATTTTCTCAGGGTAAAGGCAGAGAAAATAGATTTAAAAAGCTGATTTGATATTTAGACTTTCCAGGCAAACTTGGTAATTTGAACAGATTGTTGTTGGATAATTGATGAAGTACTGCCTCGGTAATCATTTGTAAGCATCTAATCTTGCATTTAGGCTTTTTGTGCTTACTGTTGGATTTGCAAAATGTTTATTTAGGACATTTATTTTTAGTTTAGGACATGCTGATGAAGACTAAAAATGTGTCTTTACTTTCTGCTAAGGAAGTTATGTTTTTGGTAGCATTGGTTAAATAGTTAAGTAATTAGTTTTTTTGTCATCATCATCATTATTTTATTATTATTATTTTCTTATCATTACCTCCACCAAGGGGGTTATGTTTTTGGCAGCAATGGTTAGTTAGTTTTTTTTTTGCTTTCAGAATAACTCAAGGAGTTATGAACAGATTTTTATGAAGAGGTGTGTCTTGGCCCAACTTGAATGCCATTAAATGTTTAGAATTTTTTAAAGGATTCATTAGCATTGAGATGTAGGGACATCATCAACTTTTTGGTGCTTGAATTGTTTTTCTTCTTCTTCTTCTTCTTCTTCTTCTTATTATTATTATTATTATCATCATTGTTATTGTTATTGTTATTGTTATTATTGTTATTATTATTATTATTATTATTATTATTATTATTATTATTATTATTAGTAGTAGTAGTAGTAGTAGTAGTAGTAGTATTGTTGTTATTATTATTATTATTATTATTATATTATTATTATTATTATTAATTATTATTAATTATTATTATTATTATTTTATTATTATATTATTATTATTATTATTATTATTATTATTATTATTATTATTATTATTATTATTATTATTATTATATTATTATTATTATTATTATTATTATTATTATTATTATTATTATTATTATTATTATTATTATTATTATTATTATTATTATTATTATTATTATTATTATTATTATTATTATTATTATTATTATTATTATTATTATTATTATTATTATTATTATTATTATTATTATTATTATTATTATTATTATTATTATTATTATTATTATTAATTTTTTAATGCAATTCTTCATGTGAATATTTTTATTGCATCAGTGACCCTATTGCCTTGGCAGAGGTATGCACTCTCTGAGTGTCTCTAGTTTATGTTTAAATATGTTTTAATATTTCTCTCTTTTCATTTCACTGACTAATTATCAAACTGGAGATTTGATTTTTGGAATGGTGGTTTTGCTCTTGTTTTCCAAAATTTAATTGCAAGTATGATTTAGATTACCTTTTAAATAGGATGCCCAATGAAATATTATCTGCTTTTGTATTTTTTATTGATATTTTAATGCATTGAAAAGTTACGTTTCAGTAATGCTCAGCTCTGAATCATGAAGTACTGTCGCTTCAATGCCATAGAATGCAGTGCCACAGGTAGACCACAGGCTTAGAGATAACTTCGGGATTTGCACATTATTCATTGCACTGCAATATGTCATCGAGCAATGGATGACATTTTTATGCTGGTGATATTTCAACATATGCCTTTGTTAGCTGGTTAGATTATAATTCAGCATCATTTTCCAAAGTGCTCAGAAGTGATAATTGAGTGAAGTTTTGAGACAGAAGACTTGTTGAGATAATGCTTTGCTTTCATATGTGGAAAGGATATGCCTGGGTAGCATTCATATGATTTCTAAGAAAACAATATACGGTTGTTTACAGGTGTGTAATATTTCTGATGATATTAGGTATGATGTGACAGGTAGAGTAATTATATTTTGCAAACGAAAACAATATGAACCATTAAGAATGACATAAAATTATGCTCTAAATCTCTGAGGAGCGGCAAGGCTAGAGACCTCTGGATGATGCTAGAGAGCTTGTTGATGGGGTTAGTTATGTCGAGGGTAGGCTTGGTTATCCGTATGGTGTGAGGGATTCTTGCACAGGCACCTCATCTCCCCATGGGTCCCCAGCCGTTAGAGACGAAGAGGTGCAGGAGAGGCTTTCGTTGTTGAGAAGCACCAGCGCCCTGAAAAGTAGACACGTGTCTCTGAGGGCCAGCTGTTGCGCGACCACTCTCCCAGCTGCCCTCGCTCAGGCTCATGGCTTGTGGGTACATCAAGGACCTCACACTGTTGGCTGCTGGAGTCCATAGTTGCTTCCTGGGTGTGGAGGATCCTCCAGCACCCCAACCATGGGAAGCAAACACAGCACTTTTCTTTTCTGCGTATATATCTGCTTCCTCCTCATTGGCTCTGTCGGAGGATGCCTGCGATTCCTCAGGGGTAGTGTGTATGCCGCTCCGCTTGCCAAGGGGACTCCATGTTCCTGAGGTGAAGATGGAGTGGAACCTCCGGTACTGTGTGTTGGGCTGGTTTGGAGGAGGCTGCTGATTTGATACTAGGGCTGCGAATCTGCTACCTCCAATGCCTGTGAGGATATAGGTGATGTTATTTTCCTGGCAGGAGGAGTAATTTCAATGGGAATCAAGGAACTTGTATCAGATTCACATTCTTGATATTGAATAACTAGATCAAGAGTACGGAAAATATGTGAAAAATACAGTAGCTTTTGTTCAGTCCCAATAATTGAGATAGACTAGTATTGATGAAAGAAGAAACCATTTCAAGCAAAGAAAATAGTCTACACATAATAATGCTCTATGCAGTGTTGGAAAATATGATTGTG